GCCAGAGACCTAGCTAGTAGATACACTGTATATATTCTTATTTAATAATTGTAGATTTCTCTGCTGCCCCATCTGTTTAGACAAAATGTTCAAGGATGATATGTTCAGATACATTTAGATGCACACACACAAATTTGATCCATGGGAAAGTCCTCCATTTTATTATGATAGTCTGAGATACCAGTGTTTAGAATGAGTTTCTTGAGCTTGTGGGTTAGTTCTGATACCTAAACTTGCTATGGTTTTTGCCATGTAGTTTTTAAGGAACATAACTTAGAGATGTGAGTTATTTGCCCTAGCTGGTGTGGCTCAGTGGGTTGAGCGTGGGCCTGCGAAATAACGGTTCACCAGTGCCATTCTCAGTCTGCGGCACCTGCCTAGGATGCGGGCCAGGTCCCCGGTAGGGGGCACAAGAGAGGCAACCACACATCGATGTTTCTCTCCCGCTCTTTCTCCCTCCCTTCCCCTCTCTAAAATAAATAAAATCTTTTTTTAAAAAGAAAGAAAGAAATGTGAGTTATTTCACCTTTCCTAGTTTCCTAGCTATTCTGCGTCAGTGCAAGGACAGTTGGACCAGATCCGCGCAGGAGTGGTTGAAGGGAGTGCTGGGCCCGTGAGGCTGTCATTTCAGCTGGCTGCAGTCTCTAGAGATACGCGTGACTCTCTTCTTACAGAGTTGTGATGTCCGCTGTCCCGTCCGCTCACAGATTCTGAGCAGAATCTTCACAGAAAAGCCGAGTGTAATCATTAATAACTACCCAGATGAACTGTGGGCTTTAGAGTGGTCCACCTAATGGTAGCGTCTGCCTCGTTTGGGAGCTTACCGATAACGTAGAATCTCACGAATCTGTTCCCCTGGATCAACACTTGCATTTTAAGAAGATCCATTGGCAATTTATGTACGCAGAACATCTTGATGAGCAGTGATCTCTGTCGTCTCTCATTAATCGTCCGTCACACAGCCCTTCAAGGAGTTACGGTTATTATTTCCATTTTACAAAGCAGGAAGCTAAAGTGAACAGGTGTTGACTAACTTGCCTAAGGTCTAGGAACTGGTAAGTAACCATGTTGGGATTTGAATCCAGGTCTGTCTAATCCCAGAGTCCCTGCTTTTAAATCCAAGATTTGTTGATTCTCAAAGTCTTAGCACCTCTTCAAATGAAAATCCAGTCAGGAGGTGATATAACACTGGATTCATATCACTGCCTTACATGCTTTTCTAGAGCAATGTAAGAAGAGGGAACTTGTTAAAACACAGGGAAATTCAAAACCAGAAACCAGAGTAGAATTGATCCCTGGACAATGCAGAGGTTGGGGCATCCATCTCCCCACCCTGCCACACAGAGACTCGAAAATCTACGAATAGCGTTTGATTCCCCCAAAACGTAACTACTAATGGCCTACTGTTGACTGGAGGAAGCCTTACTAATGACACACACAGTCGATTAACATATGTTTTTGTATGTTATATGTATTATATACAAGGTTTAGAAATGTTATTAAGAAAAATCATCAGAGAAAATACATTTACAGTATTTGTTTTAAAAAATATGCACGGAAGTGGACCCCCCACAGTTGAAACCCATGTTATTCAAGGGTCAGCTGTGTCCCCAGTGTATAACATGTTCTTTCTGTGTTGCTGTGTGTGGTCCCAAGCCTTTGCTGGGTCTGGGACTGTAATGGCCTATTTTGAGAACCCATGTCTCAGTGGTTAAGAGCAGCTCAGCCCAGAACCTCCCTGTGCTCTGAGTTTCCTCCTCAGTCAGATGGTGTCCGTGGTGATACTTAAGAGTTTGTGGTCCACAGTGCTAAATGAGTTGTGTTTTGAAAAGTGTTTTAAAAGTTTTCCATCACTTTATTATCTTAGCACAGGATGTCTTATGTTTGAAAAACAGCTGATAAAGTCCCAGTCTCAATCTGCAGTTTTTCTCCTATAAATACCTTGTCCAGATGCTGGGCAGGGCCTGTCTGCGGGCCTTCTTCTGGGCGTCCAGTGACTCAGCCCTGTCGCCCTGCCTCTATTCTGATAGGTAGGAAATCTCAGGAGCCTCTGGCACCCTGGCTCACCCAGGCCAAGTCCGTCACCTGGATGCTTTAGTTCCCCCAAGGCCTGTTTGCCTCGCTCCTACTTTTCTTCAAGGTTTAGAAGTGCCGAGGCCTTGGAGGGATTTGCCTCCATACCTGCTTCTAGGTTTGTTCTGAAAACCGCAGTTCTCTTTTTCAAGTACTAAATTTCAAGTAGCAAAAGGGATGGGAACAGGGGGGCTCTGGTGGGTGTAACTGCTGCCCAAACTCCAGCAGATTCACAAAAGTCAGATTAGAATGAAATCAACAGCTTTTTACAATACATGAAATTTTATCTGGAGTGGTTTGGGATTAGGGGAGCAATCCATAACACACTGGGCTTCTTAAAACATGTTTGATTGTTTCGGTAAATTCTAATTTCTGTATTCCAGGAGTAGGGCCTGTGTTTGGCTAGGTCCTGTCTGGTCCTGAAAATTGGGCTATAATTTTCTAATATTTGACTGTTTTCTTGGAGACTAAATAACTCAATAGAAGTTCCACTTAAAGTCGATGTGTATTAATATATATTTTGAGTATACTTCAAAATCAGGGTAATTAGTTGGTGTTTTGATGCAACATTGCTGACCAATTAACCCTTTCGTGACTTGTTTTTAGTTTGACAAGGTGCTCTTAGAAAATAGAAACGACTGATATAATGCAGGATTTATTACCTCTAATTTAGTTTGCCTTTTAAATATTCACAGTATTCAGCTAATACAGTCCTAATGGGATAACTTTGTGGGCTTTTGTAATTTTAATTAATAATTAATAACTTTAATAATTCTACTAGTTTTATTAAGGCTGCTTATCTGGAATGTCATTTTCTACTTTGTGATATTCTTTCTGACAAAACTACATATGTGAATAGATTTTCAATATTCCATCTTGAATATCTTACTGCTTTTTACTCCAGAAAAAGATTTACAGAATATTTATTTTTTTAGTGGATTGAGGTAGCAGTTTAAAGACACATTGCTGCAGAAACATACAAACATAAATAAAAGTATAACAAGATTATTATAAAACTGGTTATGCTAGCTTAATTTTCTTTTTATCTCAACTTGGTGTTCATTCACATGTTAATATATTTTATGGTTTTTAAAATTTTATTTACTTATCCTCACCTGAGGACTTTTTTTTTCATTGCTTTTTAGAGAGAGAGAGGAAGGCAGAGGGAGGGGGAGAAAGAGAGAAACTTTGATGTGAGAGAGGAACATGGATTGGTTGCCTTCTCAAATGCACCTGACCCAGGATCAAACCCTGAGCCTGGCTATGTGCCCCTGACTGGAAATCAATCCCACAACCTTTCGGTCTATGGGACAACACTCCAGTCAACTGAGCCATACCAGCCAGGGCTATTTATTTTTAAAAGAGAGATGAAGGGAGGGAGAAATAGAGAAAGAAAAACATCAATGTGTGAGAGAAACAAAATGTGATTGGTTGCCTTTTGCATGCACCCCAACCAGGGACCAGCCCACAACCCAAGCATGTGCCCTGACCAGGATTGAACCAATGACCTTTCGCTTTATGGGACAATGCCCAACCAACTGAGCCACATTGGTCAGAGTGTATGTTAATTTTTTAAAAAGTAACAGTAGGATATCCATAGTGCTGGTGATTTCACTATTTTCAGGATTGTTTTATAAGTGGAAGGGGAGTGGTATAGTTCCAGGCATATTTCTCAAATTTTTTTTTAACTAATGAAACGAATCATAAAATCATAGGCTCTATTCCCAGCATTTAAATGACGACACAGAAAACTTCTGAACATAGGGTTCTAAGCATTTGCTACGTACCAGGGTGAGAATTTGGAGGTAAGGAATAACTTAGAAATAGTTCAGAGACAGCAATGGAGAAACTGCATGGGAAGACATAGGGTGAGTCAGAAGGAGAACTATTGGTGAGGAAGAAGAGGGTCTGTTTAATGACTGCTCACAGGCAAACCCTGGAGATTCACAATGTGCACCACTGCCAAAGAAATGGGACCAAAGTTGGCCTAACCCAAACTAAACATTTAAACCTAAAAGTGTGTAAGGAGGACATGAAAATTTGGAAAAAATACAGTCTTGCCTGGTCAAACACTTAAGCCTTCTCTTTGCTCTCACATTGAGACCTCTTGGGAAGGCTTTAGTGTGCCACTCTTGCAGATGTCCCAGCACGAGAGATGAAGTATTATGCAATAGTCCGAAGAAGTTCAGAACTGGTATTATGCCTCAGTTCGCATTTTAATTATAGGTCTCACGATTACTGAAAGCCTCATTCCTTTGGTAGCCAACATTATTTCTGTCACGTCTCAGGTCTGTAGGACCATACTGTGAATAATCGATTACTAAAGCACTTGTGAATAGTGCTTTGCAGTTTGCAAGAGGGCTTTCTTGTATGTGATTTCATGCTAAGGAAGCTTTGGAGGGCACTTCCTAGTGTCAGGTACTAGGGCAGATAGATGATGGGGACACAAATACAGCTCTATCCTTGGAGACTCACAGTCTTGTGGGGAAGAAAGACAAGCAACCTAAAGAATATACCCTGTCAGTGGGGTAAGTCCTGTGACAGTATGAGCAAATCGAAGGCAGAGGATAGAAGCAGAGATACCCATTCTACAGATGAGAAAAACCGATCCTCAGAGAGGCCTCAGATCCAGGCCTCTTATACAGTGGCAATTTTTTAGCTGTAACTTATAGCTAAAGTTTTAAAAGCATTGATTTTAGGCATTAAAGGGGAAAGAAGGACATTGGGTTTTGTGTTTTCGTGTGTCAGGAAAATAAAAGGGAACATTCTCGATGTGGTGGGGGGGACACACACACAGCCCAGTCTTCCAAATGTCAGCACATGTTCAAGGTAGAAGTTGGCTGAAAGCTATCATAATTTGGGGGTCTCTTCTTCATGTCAAGTCGAGCTCCCGGGGAAGCCCTTCCCACGGTGGTCAAGTGCCGACTGGCTGCTTCTAGGTCCCACACTCGGCCGGGAGCAGGTGGCCGGTCTCCGTGCTGCTCCGTCTGCTCCCTGCTGAAGACTTGCTCCCCAGGGCCTTCGGCTTTCCCACTGTACTCGGAGCACTTAATTAAAAAAAAAAACAGAATATGTACTGATGCAGAGTTATGACTAGTAAAAAACACCAATAAAAATGACTGTTAAGTGCTTGACAAATAGAAAATGTTTAATAATACTAAGGTGCTTTGTGGGGCAAGGGTTTATCCCTTGGCACAGGATAACAGGCCTTTCTGTGGAGGTTTTCCCGGGATGCTGCTCTTGGCAGGCAGACAGTTCTTGCCCAATCAGAACAGGTGAGCGAAGTAGATCGTGTCGTCCTGGAGTCACCTGACTTCTTACTGCAAGCCTGTTGTCTGGAAGTGACAATGACAGACCTATAGATAATACAGTGTTATGATAAAGATAACACTTTGGTGACACAGGAACAAAAAAGGGAAAATATAGTAGGAAAATAAAGGAGAGGGGAGGGAAGTAGCTAAGGTACCTCCAGTTTTATGAGAAGGTTAGAGCAAAACCAACATACTTTCTAAGTTCTAACTAGACTTACCAAAGGGTAGACCAAGTTCAAGTTATGTGAATAATTAACCAGAATGGCCTTAGGCAAGTTACTTAGTTTCTCATCTGTTAAATGGGGATAGTGGGAATATTGCTGCTGGGATTAGTAAAATCCTGTATTAAGTGCCCGATAACTGGTAAGTTTTTTTTAAGGTTTTATTTATTTATTTTTAGAGAGAGGGGAAGGGAAGGCAAAAGAGAGGGAGAGACACAATAATGTGTGGTTGCCTCTCGCACGCCCCCTACGGGGACCTGGCCCGAAACCCAGGCATGTTCCCTGACTGGGAATCAAACTAGCAACCCTTTGGTTCACAGGCCAACACTCAATCCATTGAGCCACACCAACCAGGGCATTTTTTTAAAGTTTCTATTGGTTAGAGATTATTGACAGGCAGGTATTAATATGTCTTCAGTGTTCGATAAAACTGTGCATGTCATTAAAATATATAGAATTTGATTTTTCCTGATTATCAGCAATGAATTTGTACAAATTAGTATATTTATTTATATTTTTCATTAGAATATTGTGATACCAGCAAGCCATATTCTAAATTTTTTTTTAAGATTTTATTTATTTACTTTTAGAGAGTAGAGAGGGAGGGAGGGAGAAAGAGAGGAAGAGAAACAGCAGTGTGCCAGAGAAACATCAACTGTTTACCTCTTGCACACCCCCAATGGGGGACCTGGCCTGCTACCCAGGAATGTGCCCTGACCAGGAATTGAACCGGGGACCTTTTGGTTCGCAGATTGGCACTCAGTCCACTGAACCACACCAGCCAGGACTCTAAATTGATTCAAATAAACAAATAATCTTATAGAATACATAAATAAGATCTTTTAAACGTCTATCATTAAAAGTAATACATATGACCAGATGATAAGTTATAGCATTTTTTTAATAGTAGCTTTTTAATCATGGCCACTTTACAACCAGAAAAGACCTCATCCAGACACAATGAAGAACATGAAACTTCCTGGCACCAAGTTGGATCAAATAGTGGCACTCTGTGGAAGAGCTAATTTTAGAGATTGTGTCATTCTTTTAACCCTCTTTTCCTACTTGACAAATAAAATACTTGCTTAGTTGACAGAAATCATCAAATAATTCACATTTTATCTTAGTTTATACCAACTTGTTTAGAAATGAGGTCAGTAAGTATTATCTGCATTGTGAAGCAGAATTGTAATTAGTGTATTAGCCTTCCATTTACTGCTCGGGGTTAGGGTGCAAGAAGACAATAAAGTAGGGCGATCAGTCCCGCTGTTGAGCAGATCCTTATTTCCAAGAGAACTGAGAGACATTATTTTCTTATTCAGAGAAGAAAAAAGTCGAATTTCTTCCAAATAGGAGCAAGACTACACAGTAACCTTTTTTGTCTTCTTGGCCTACTGTGTTTTAAGAGGACAATGTAGAGAAATTCAAAGTCCATAAATAGAACTGTGCCAGGCATTTTTGCATTCTTTAAACTTCTTAGCCCCCAGTATTGTACTTATTGTGTCTTGACACCAGAATGCAGCCTGCCCTAGGTTTTAAGCAAAACTCAAATACATGATATAACAAATTAATAAGACCTAATCACATGCCAGAAGGTATTTGAAAAGTTTCACGAATTAAAAAATTGAGTTCCTTTGACACAGGCAGAGAACCACGATGGGGAAAAAATGGTGGCTTCAACAGCTTGTTCACATCAGAAGGAAAGGTGGGTGTGCCCAGCTTCCAGAGGATTAGTCACAAGGGGAGCTGAGCTGCAGATCCTGCAGATCAGGTTCGATGCATATATGATAGAAATAGTAAGCAAAATCGAGACTATTTGTTTAATGCTTATGCCCTTAGTCACAGCCAATTTGTAAGCTATGTGGAAGTCAGATTTGAATATGAAGATAACATTTCTCTTATCACAGTCTGAGCTGGTCAGGGCACTTTATTGAAGAGACTTACCAGGTGGTTTCCATTGTCTAAGCTCAGCTCAGGGTCCTTTCCTTTAGGAAGTCTTCTCTTGCCTCCCCAGACTAGGTTGCGTGCCCCTCACCCGTGGTGGTGACACTCTGTAAGATTTCTTCATACTTTCCTCACCTTATGCCTTTCAAGTTTATATGTCTCTCTTCTCAGTGTAGTACAAATAGTAACTAATAATTTTTAAAGTCTCCATTAATTAATTATTCAAAAATAATAATAATAGCTACGTTAGCATATTTATATTTAAAAATAACTTTTCCAGAAAAGATAAAACTAGTGAAAAGAAAAATAAGATAGTTAAATTAACACAAGACTAGCTTAACAGGAGAAAAGCCAACTTAATATGCACAGAGAGAAGAACAATATGATGCTCAGATCATAAAATGATCCAACCAGGCACCTTTTAAAACTTTTTAGACAAGTATGCACCAACTTTGTGAGAAATTGACAGGACAAAGAAGGTTAGTGCTCATTAGAGAGGAATCTAGGCCAGGTTTATGGGCATCCCTCAGTGAGGAATTTAAACGAAGTAGTAAATTAGAAAAGAGACAGGAAGATCGGATTACAGAGACTTTTCAGTTCCGAGTCCTTTCGCTGGAGCAGGAGTGTCCTCCCCAGCGAGGAGGACTCCCTTCACAAGGGAGCTCTGTGTCCTGCATTCAGGGAGACGAGGGAGGGTCAAGGCGCCCTTTTGGCTGCCTCCACTCTTCTAACTTGAATTTAAAGTAAGCACCATGCCAGAATGGGATATTTTGGGGTGGCTTGTCATGGGCCCCAACAAAATGTAACATGTTACTATACATCCTCTGTGAATGTTAGTAAATGGAAAACCCAGGACTGCAACCTAGGTCTCTCACTTGTGCACTCATTCAACCAATATTTATTGAGCCCCTACTATGTGTTAGTCACTGATGACCCAGCGTAGAACACAACAGGTCTCATTTTTCAAGGACTTCACATTTAACGGAGAATGACAGACATTAAAACTAACAAAACTATAATTAAAATAGACTGAAGTGACTGGGTGGCTCCTCCCTCCTGACAGGCAGTCTCCTCCTCCAGTTGGTTGGGCCCCACTCACCCGGGAGCAGGCCCCTCCCATGATCACTGGCTTCGCGTGATCCCACCTGGAGGCTCCGCAGGGGTCAGAGCAGATGCAGCTGTGACTGGCCTCCCCTCTTCTACATCAAGTGGTCGTTGTGGATGAGCCACATCAGACTTAGTGTTTCCCGGATTAAAATATTAAGGGAAGGGTGGGTAAATTATATAGAATGGAAGTTAGCACAGTTTCTTTAAGAACTCAGAGTGGGTGACACATCTGACCACCTCAACTTGGTAGGTGGGGTGAGGTAGTGGCGGCCCAGAGAGACTGAGCAGCAGAACCTGGTCCGAAGTCGGGAACTGACCGCCGTCCATAGGCTCAGCGTGTCTTTCCTGGTCGACATAGCCCTGTCTCCTTCCTCACTTGCCAGGTTTTGTGTCAATGTTATGATGAGGTTGCTTCAGACTTGATTCCGTTGGTTCTCAGCCTGCCAAGGTTCTCCCTGCCAGGAAATACTGCCTGAGTGCCTGAGGGGACAAGGTCTTTTTGGGGTCAGAAAATCTGTGCCTTTCTCCCCACCCCTTGTTGGGAAAGAATGCAGGTAAGCTACTGATGGAATCAAAAGGAAACGTTAGCATAGGGAGGCGCTCCTTTGTGCATCACTAGTCCGCATTTGTGATGCTGAAGAACTGTGGGATTAGCATTTGAGAAGGAGGGATCGTCGGCCAGCCTCCAGCCGACTAGGCGGGGCTGAGCCCTATCCTAACCTCCCTGGGCTCCATCAGGTGCAGGCACCTAAACCAATTTATGGGAAGCCTTAAGGGAAGCCCCGATCCGTAAGGCAGCTGTTACAGGAATACCTGGTCGGGTGACCTTGACAATCCCTTCTCCCCTAAGAACCTTTGATTCTCTCCTGGCAAAAGTATCTGCAAATCAGTTTTTGACAAATCAAATATTTGTAGATTAGACAGCAGTATTTACATGGAGGGAAATTGTGTTTTTAGAGCCTTTGTTTGTCCTTGATATGATATCAGATCAGGCTGTTTAAAGTTACACATACCTTGGTATACTAACAGTGTCTGTTGCCATTCTTAGTTGGAACATGTTTTATGTTGGAACTCACACACACACACTCTATCTTTTTACAATATTCAGCTTAATATGATGTATAAAGTAATGAGTCTGACAAAAGTCCGTTCTTGGGACATTTCCCCTTTGGTTCACTGCCCTGTTTTCGATGCCTGGCACAGTGGCTGGCACACTTGCAATGCTCAAAAGTATTTGTGGAAACATACAAATATTTTATAATAACATTTCAAGGTACATTTATAATCTTTGCCCTCCTAGCTCTGAGCAGAAAGGCTCTTAAGTATTTTACCTCACTTGAAAAAATTAAAACTAATTCTTTAGCTGTCAAGGTTAGAAACAAAAAGCTCCCCCAATAGCACTTAAATGGGAAAAACCACCTTTCCTTAAATGTGTTGCACACCTACTGTGTGCCCAGCACTGTGCTGTGCCCTGAAGGTTAGGTCATGTTTCCTTCTACATGTGGTCCAAATTTCATTTTTCCTCTCCTGTTGATTTCTCAGCACATAGTGGGGAGCGCACACAGTGGGGAGCGCACGCACCCAAACTCATCACCAGCCACGGTAGACATAGCGATGGTCACCACCGTGCCATGCTAGCACAGGTGTGGGTCTGGCGGGCAGGCTGTGCCCTCTGGGAAGGGGCAGGGCAGGTCTAAGATCCACTTGCCTGAAGTTACCAGACCTGCACTGCAGCCTCTTCTGTACTTTTGGTCTGGACCAGTCTTCTCCCCCCTCTGCCTCCAGCCAGCTCAGATGTTCTCTCCTTTCCCTTTCCCCCAACCCTCATTTCTCCTCCCCTTCTCCCCTGCTCACCTCCAACCCCATAGCAACTCAGAGAAACCCTTTTATGAAGGTACACATTCGATTTCACAGAAGCATCCAGTATTTAGTATCTGCTCAAATTATAGAATTAATAGTGCAACATTGAGAATTTCTTTGGGTGGGAATTCCAACTTCAGGCCGTCAGTGTGGTGGTTTGGGTTTAGAGAGGAGAGTTCCTTTGACCTTGTCTTTCTGCCTGTCCAGCTGTCTGCCTTGGGTCTTTATGGTTGTTATTTGGCCTCTTCTCACTCTCCTAGGTTAATTTTATTAATATTAGGACACATCATGTACTGTTTTAAGAAATATCAATTACTTTTATGAGATTTGATCGTGGACTCAAGCCGCCTTTCTGATGGTTCACAGCTATGGGAAATAAAGTCAGTTCGCTCACACTTGTTAATGCTGTTTGGGAGCTCACGTCTGTTCTGGTTCAAGCACAATCTCGTGGGTTCATTTTCATTTAAACTTAAAAAATACACTCTGAGAGGGCAAAGTATAGTTAAAGAAAGGGTATAAAGGTACCAGCCTTTTTCCTTCTTGGTAATTTTTTTCAACCAGTATATTTCTCTTGGTTCTTAGGTTGTCTTCCCTTGGGCTTTACCCTCTGTTTTCATTTGAGCAGGGTGTGGACAGAACAGAGAAAGGAAGAAGGGTTTTGATCTGAGAAACATGGTAGAGCACAGAGCACGAGCAAAAGCCCAGGGACAGAAAAGAGCATAGATATTCCAGAACACTCCAGAACAGAAAGGACGTGTGTGGGCTTCGTGCATAGAGAGGGTTAGAGAGGTGGTGAGAGAGAAAGCTGAAGGGCTCAGCAAGGACCCTACGGTGTCTCTCGTCCACATTACGGTTTCAAACCTCCTGTTGTGTTGTGGGCAGTTACGGAAGGCTTTCAGCAGAGGAGGACAGGATGCACCTGGTTATTTTAAAAAACAGGCTCTCCTCGGTGGAGGTGTGGTCCACGGTTGCAAAGGAACTAGAGCGAGGGTGGAGACTGCTGTCTAAGGAGTAAGGTGGCAGTAGTGAGATCGGAGAAGGTAGAGGCTGCAGGACACGGATCTGGGTGTTGGGGGACAGAAGCGTCGGGCATGGATGGGCGGGGCGAGTGGAGATGCTATCTGTTGAAATGGCCACTGCAGGGGGCCCGGGGGTGGGAGGGGCATGGCGAGCTCTGCTTTGGAGATGTTAAATTTGGAAGTTCACCAGTGTGTAGATGATAACTACAGCTACTTGGGGTGGATTATTTTGCTTAGAAAGAAATTGTAGTGGGAAAATACAAGAAGACCCCCAAGAAACGTGAATGTTCAGAGGCAGGGCAGAGAAGGAGTTGCTGGCACAGAGCCACAAGGGAGGGGGGCGGGTCGGAGGGGAAGGAGGACGCTCCTGGGGCACAGCGGAGCCCAGGTGGTGATCTGTGTGGTTACTGCAGCTGAACCTTCCGGTGAGATGAGGCCTGGGTGTGTGTCCTCTGGTTTTACCAGTAAGCCTTGCGTGCGTGCCCTCTGCGGGGCAGTTTTGTGAGGTGATGGGCAGGGAGCAAAAGTCATGCTGGAGTGAACTGAGGGAGCAATGAGAGGTGAGGAATGGTAGCAGCCAGCAGAAAGGGAGAAAAGGGGCTTCTCTCCCAGGTTTGACTGCCTGAGAGAGAGAAATAGAGAGAGGGAGGAGCCAGGGGGAAGTGGGGGTTGGAAGTGAGTTTGTTGGGTTTCTGTAGATTTTATGTATTTTTAAGTTGGGAGAGACCCGGACATGTTTACAAGCTGATGGGAGGGAGGCAGTAGAGGACAAGAAGGACAGGTGGTGGCAAGATCTGCAGGACAGGTAGAGTGTGACTGGCTTGGGTTGTTTCATTAATATTTTATTTCCTTTGTAAAACCACGGAAGGAAAGACTGGCCCAGGCTGGACTCAGCTCTGCAGCCTCAGCTACCTGGATTCTCCTCACAGCCCCTCCTGGATTCAGAACTCCCTGGAGAGTCAAGATTCCTGGTCCTAAGGGATCTCGCCTCCCATTTAAAGGATGGTGGTCTTTCCACCCTGTGCAGAAGCCAGACACACATCGAGGCCTCATCCCACTGGAAGGCTCAGCTGCATTAACAATACCAACCATGCCCTGAGCCCCTGGGTTCCTGGGCTCCTGCACCACTGTTCACCCCCTTCCCCTCCCTCTTCCCCCACCCACCCAGTGGTCGCTCTTTGCCAGGAACTCCTTCTCTGCCTCTCCTCCTCCCCGTTTAGGAGGGGAACCTGAACATCCTTTGTATTTGAACTGAGTCAGTGACAAAGCAGAGGATCAAGTTCAAGGCAGAGGCCCATTTAATTGGAAAAAAAAAAAGCTAGATAAAATAGGAACAATGTCTGGAAATGTTTCTCAGACCAGAGGAAGAACGGATGAGTTGCATTCTGTGCAATGAACATGCTGGGTCTTGAGTTTCTTGGAATTCCAACAGACTCTTGTTAGTATCATTTAACTGATTTGAAGTGGCATGCCTGTATGTCCAGAGAGACAATTTCTAGACTTTGTTCTGAGTTGGGCTTGAGTAAAGTAGATGTTCATAAGGGAAAAAGACACCCTTCTATTAACTGTTTTTTTTTCTGGGAAAAAAATTACTGTGATTTACAATGTGTAATTTTTTCTTAATTAATGAACTTTATTTTTTAAAGCAGTTTTAAGTTCACGGCAAAATTGAGCAGAAAATTCAGAGGATGCCTTTATATACCCTGACCGGCAAATGTACTTCCTCCCCTCCCATCAGCACCCCCACAACAGAGGGGTGGTACATTGTTACAGTGGATGAACTTAGCCCCCAAACTCCGTAGTTCGCATTAGGGTTCCCTCCCGGTGCTGTGCGTGCAGTGGGCTCTGACAAGTGTACAAGAGCGTGTACCCACCCTTGCAGTGTGGTACGGAGCAGTTTCACTGCCTGAAGCCCCTCTGTGCTCTCTCTGTTCATCTCTCCCTTCCCTGCATGTGTTTGCAGCAGTCCTGTTCCGTGTGAGCAAAACTGAAGGTCTTGATGAAGCCTTAATGATAGCTTTGTTTTGGTTTGAGTACCTTCATACACAAAGGAAAATTCAGTCACAGACCTGGAGTTACGACTTTAAAACAGCGATTTTCTACCCTTTTCAGCTCATGGCACACATAAACTAATTACCAAAATTCTGTGGTACACACAAATATTTTTTTGCCCATCTGACAAAAAATAGGTATAATTTTGATTCATTCACACCCAACGGCTATCATAGTGTTGGCTGTTGTCGTTTCTTATTTGACAACCTAAGGGAAAAGAGGTCAGTGCCCCTGAACACAGTCAGGTACTGCGTGTTTTAAAAGTCCTTGCAGCACACCGGTTGAAAATCGCTGCTTTAAAGCAACAATATCTAAATTCCAGCTTTACTCTTCTCTCTGTAAGTATTCCTTGCCTTCCTTTCTAAGCTTTCAGTATGAACATTACACCAGAAGCTTTTTTTCTTACCCCTTTGGGGGATGGAGGAAAGGGCAGAGCAGCCCACCCTTGACCGTGGCCTCCAGCTGAGGATGATTCGTGGCCTCTCCGTGGCCTCTCCGGTGGATTGCAGTGCACCTTTCTGTTCCCAGAGGGCTGAGGAGGGGAAGCTGTGGCTTCTGGAAGGTACTGACAACAATGTTCATGGCAGGGACGCCTTGAGAAAGAAAGACAGAGAAAGGTGGTTTGGTGAGTAAGGGGTTAAAGCCACTGAAGTCCAGGGTCATGCTGTTTACTCATTGCTACTTTGTACAGAAAATGTGTTGCTTTAAAGCTTAGGGAAACTGGTTAACTGTAAATTCTGACTTTCAAAACTTGCTGGGAAATGCACAGGGTGAATTGGGCCAAACTATCAGTTCTTCAGGGAAGGGCCCCCCCTCTGCCTTAAGCCTCTTTATCTGTGTGCATAGCATTCTCATTACCAGTCTTTATGCAGCTCTCCTGGGTTCCCAGCATCCCTCCGGAGGCCTTGAGGAGGCACAGTGGAGCAGAAACTGCTTCTCTGATGTCACTGTGCACCACTGCCTGACCTTTGCTCCCTCTCATTTACCAGTATTCGTGTTTACCTGGTACTTTCCTATTGACTGTTTTAGACTCATTAGATTTGATGGGCTAGTTAAGTTTTCTAATGCTTAGTAAAACATACCTATTATAAGTATTTAGAAACAGGAAAATAGCCATCTACACGCACCCTAAAATAACCCTGCATCTCATTGATTGGGAATGGCGTCCACCACAGCCTCACAGAGCCAGCGGGGACCCCCAGGTGTCCCAAAGGTTGTGATGGGTGGCCCAGGAGACTCATGATGCAGGTGAGAGGGGGTGTCCCTCCTCGGGGTGCTGGAAATGTCTAGGAAGGGCCGCTTCCTTGCTGGTCTCGCACATTCAACTCACTCACAGTTTTGTGCATCCTTGGGTTTTTGTTTTCCATCCAGAAGAAAATGCTGTTAATGGCTGTCCTCCTGCCCCCAGGGCTGCAAACTGATGGCCCCTGCCTGGAGCGGGGGTGGGGGGTAGAGATATTCAAATAATATCCATGTATCTCAACTATTCTTCACTAAACACCTAGCGCAGGTGCTGTGGAGGCTCTGGAAATGGCAATGATCCACCAGACTGAATGACATTCTGGGGGGCGTCAGCCAGACTGAAAGGGTATGAAATAGGTATCAGCAAGAAAATATGATATAGTAGTAAATGTCCTCCAGAAAAGAAAACAAAGGGATGTGACAGGTGGTTGTGGACGAGTGGGGCTGCTTTAGATGGGGCCTTCAGGGAAGAAATCTCAGAGCCACGAAGAACCTTCCAGGCAGAGGAAATAGCTTGTGCAAGAGTTTGGGGAACTCCTTGGGAAATACCAAGTTAGTGCAATCTGACTCTAGGGTGCAAAGAAGGGAACGAGGTGGAGTGGCCACTTGGGCCTCCCTGGAGATGGTGGGGAGTCAGGAACACTGGCTTCCCCGTGTAGTCTGATCATGGAGGTCAGCCCAGAAATGCAACGGACTGCAAAGCGGACCAGAGTGTGTGCGCCCTTGCAGTTGACCATGAGGCCCCAAGCAGGTGATGCAATCTCCTCACTGCATGTGCTCTGTGAGGATATTAGCAGCCCTGCCTCCTGAGGGAGGTGCCTGTAGGTCTGCCAGTGTCTTCCTTAACCCCTAAGGCCTTCTGGAAAGTCATTACTGGTGGAAGGAAAGTTGCATTGGGAAACTAAGCCAAGATTGCAAAAGTTGGTGTTAGGATAATTCTGTTTTTCCCCAGACTCCTCAGAGGGAGGCTCTGGAGACTGGTGGCTGGATTTCCTGGGAGAGAGATGTTTTAGGGGAATGAACTCTTGATATTTTCTTTTTTTCCAGAGGACTTTTTGGATGGAGTTCACCTACGCAGTACTTTCAGACAGTGAGATCAAGGCCTTTTGTTCGAGGAGGAAGGGAAGTTGTGGCTGTAACAAATAACTCTGGAAGGGCATATGTAGTGTGCCTTTGGATGTTTTTAAATTTAAAAAGTTTTATAATTTAACACAGGTACATGTTAAAATTTTAAAATATGCCATGAAAAATAACGTTGCCTCCTACTCCTGACTCAGGCCCCCATTTTCCTCCCTGGAGACAACCACTGTTACATTTTCTTAGAAATGCAGACATTTAACATGCATCTTCAAACATATCACATGCCTCCCTTATGCTTTTTGAAAGGCAGAGCTTTCTTAACTGTTTGAGTGGGTGGCGGTTGCTCAAAGGTTTGGAAGGAGTAAGACAAGATAGAAAGAAGATGGAATTGTGTCATAGGGATCTTGATTCCTGACCATGAGTGAATTTGGGGGCTCACATAAATAATAGAAATCATGGCCAAGGGAAAAAATAAAAATCATACCCACTGTTAAATGAGCTAATTCTGTCTGCAGAGATAGATAGAATGTTTTGGAAATACCATGGGACCTAGAATATTCTCGTTATGTGTACTGTAGGGGAATCTTTTGGTGTCTTTTATTCTTTCTCTCACCATAGCCTGAAATTGGTGGGAGAAGCCTATGGCACCTTCCCCTTGGCACCCCTGGCAGGCAAGTGTGGTCTGAGAGTAGGGGGCACGTGCAGTCCCCAGTGACAAGCAGGACCCCCTGCTAGAACATGGGCAGGTTACAGCGACGAGGTTCAGCATCCAGATCCAGCTGTCGGGGTGAGCACCTCACCTCCAGGAGAGAGGAGCAGGGCCACCCGGGCATTCACAGTGGCATTAGAAGCCACTCAGATAACAGTCAAGAAGCTCCTGAGTTAGCACCTCCCTGCCCCAACCCCTGTGACCCGGGCCACTCCTGAAGCCCTCAGATCCTGTTCTGGATGCCAAATAATGTCCAGATTTTCTTACCACAGCCCCTTGGTTACCCCCGTGTAACCATCAGCCCCTTGAGACATTAAAACATTGATTCTTACCCATGTATTATAGATGTAGAAATTGAGTCTTATAATATAGGCAAATCCGTTGTCAAGTTCAAATAGAAAGGAAGTCAGTGTGCATAGTTGACTGTCCTCAGAGCAAGTGCAGGGAAGCGCTGGTCCGGCAGCAGTGGGTGTCGGTCTGCACAGAGGGCTCCCAGGCCGGCAGGCCTAGGAACAGTGCCATCATTTTGGAAGCCCTGGATGAAAAACCCATTTAACTCAGTGTTTTCCAAGTTTTTTTGATCATTAACTCACCACCTTCTCCACCTGGTAATATCTAACAGTACCATTCCTCGTAACATTTTGGGAAACACGAGTTTACCACATCACCAGGAAAAAATGTAACTTTTTAGTAACTTAAAAAAAATCTCTCTCTGTAAAAGTCTATTTGTACTATTTAAAATAACTTACGTCTAATTATTTTACCTATAACAATTTAGGAACTGCCGAAGGCACTCACACGGCCGTCAGCCACCAGTACGATTTTCTAATTCATGCAGCAGCAGACAGACGCCTCGGGAGGTGCTGGGAATCTGCTGTGGGTCTCAGCCACCTCCTGGCTTTGTGACTGGACCAAATTACTCAACCTCTGTAAACCTCAGTTTCTCTAGCTGAAAATGATGTTAATTATTACTTTATGGTCAGTGCAAAAATTCAGTGAATTGACATAAAGCACTTGGCACAATGCCTGGCGTGTAGTAAATGCTCAGAAAATACTAACCTTTATTATTCATGAGCTCCATGCAAATTTGCTGTTCAGCACAGGCTGGTAGATAAGATTCTTGTCTCAGGGATAGATGCCATCGAGATTTGATTACACTTGAGAAAACTGCAGTTGGCTATGGTGTCCAATCTTAATGTAACTGGAGAAAAACTGTGCCCTATTGTGTTAGTTCCTAGGGCTGCCATAACAACATACCACAGACTAAGTGGCATAAACAGCTTGAACAACAGAAATGTGTTGTCTCACTGCTCCGAAGGCCAGAAGTCACACTGTCTCCAGGGCTGGTTCCTTTTGAGGGCTGTGAGCTCAGCTCTGTTCCAGGCCTCTCTTCTAGTTTCTGGGGGTTTTCTGTCCGTCTTTGACGTTGCTTGGTTTATAGTCACATTGCCCTGGTCCCTGCCTTCACACTCAGATGGCATTCTCCCTGTGTGCTTGCCTGAGTCCAAGTTTCCCCTTCTTATAAGGACACCAGTATTGGATTAGGTCCCACCCTACTCCAGTGTGACCTCATCTTAGTTAATCACATCTGCAAGGACCCTGCTTCCAAATAAGGCCACATTCTGAGGTGCTGGAGGTTAGGACTTTAACGTTCGAATATTTGGGGACACATTCAATTCACAGCTGCAGTGTGGCAGGTCAGTCCAGTGAGAGCATGCAAGAGAAAAGACTTGGTCGTACACAGTTGGGAAATTTTGTGTTTGCTTTTTTTTTTCCTTAGAACTATTTTTTCAGTCATCTTTATTCAACAGAATGCATGTGTTTTAAGTGTGCAGTTCAGTGAGTTTTGACAAATGCATACACCCGTGTAACCATCACCCCACCCCGATCAAGGTATAGACCACTCCTGTCTTTCCAAGTTTTCTCCTGTCCGTCCCCCACCCGCATGCCCCAGCCTCAAGGGAGTCACTGTAGATGAGCTCTCATGGTACCTTTTCTTGCATTTCATAAAAATGAAGTTATACAGTATATATATATATATATATTATATATATATTATATATAATATATATATATATATATTCTGTGCTAGCTGATTGTGGTTTTTTTGTTTTTGTTTTTTTTTTGGCTTGTGTCTCCTTTTAAAGCAAGCCATTAATCTGCAGGAATCTAATGTAGACAGTTTTAGTAACCGTAAACCCAGTCCTTAGAATTCTGTAACTAGATGGAACATAATTTTGATAGGCCTTTTAAAAACTTTATTTCCTTACTATGCCCGTGGTCCCATATTAGACACCTCATACCCTCATTAAGTCCTCACATCAGCTTTGTGAGGTAAGTATTCTTTTCTCCATTTATAAAAAGAGGCATTTTCTTTGATTGCTGCTACCTGGAAAATGGGTTTAATTGAGGAAAAGTTCAACATTTGCCAAGATTAGAGCTTCATAATATTGGAATATGCCTGTAGTAGTGTTTTTAGTGAAGTGTTACAAGGTCATTGTGCAGATGCAATGAGCATGTAATGTCGGATGTTGAATATGGTGCCTGACACTGAGGCCCCCGAGTGCCATTGTCATTACCATTATTGGTGGACTCGGGGGCTGTCACAGCTGGAGCCCCTCTGTTATAACCCAGGCCCAGCTCTTCACCCCTCAGAGCCTAGAACAGTCCACCCTCCTCCGGAGCGGGGTGGGCCCACCAGAGAGAGGGTGGTCCTGCCCCCTCTTTCATTCTGTGCCCTAGCAGGGCTGCCTTTTATGCTTTTCATTTGTGACTAAATCATAAGCTTTCCCTGAAAAGAAAAGGTTCCCCATGAACAACTGTGGGCACTGCCCTGGAGGAGTTCTGCCTCCTCAGTTTGGGGCAGGAGAAAGTTTAGTGATCTCGGGCCATAGCAGGCTGCTGCAGGAGCATGGCGCCCAGCCCTGCAGACATGCAGCCTGCGGGCAATCGAGGCAGGAAGTGCCAGCCCCCCGTGGAGCTACGGTGATGTCCTGGTGCAACCGTCCCGGGCCTGTTCTTACCCATCTCAGTATTTCCAGTGCCAGCCAGGCTGGGGTGACGTTTGCAGGCATACATCAGTCCATTGTTTCACACTGTCTTATTTGGGACACATAAAGCCTTTTAGAGGTAAAACATGGAATTGGTTAGCGCCATCTTTTTAGCAGTTATTTTAGTTTTGGGGCTCTTTTGAAGTTCCAATTTGTCGTATTTTTTTATTCCTTACCCTTCATACCACTTTTCAAACATGCGTGATGAAGGTCTATTAGCAGCTGTGTTGACATCCGCCTCAAACTAAGTCTTCCAATTGTCTTCATATAAATCTTGAAGAAGTAGCAATTTCAGCGTAAGTGGCAATTAAAAAGCAAGAATAATACTTAATAACCTCTACAGGGGTACCTGAGGTACTCTGTTATGGAGCCGTAGCAAATACTGTTCGCTGTCAGTAATGTAGATGGGCTGTTACCTGACTTCCATTTCGTTCCACAAGGTTGCGCAGGACCGCAGTTCTCTCTGGGGAGGCGGCGGCGAGGAAACTGCTGGGCACACGTGTGCCTGGAGGCAGAGACCGCCCGACCCTTCTCAGCGAGGGCCTCTGAGCTGTCTCCCTGAGCCTCAGTTTCTTTTTTGCGGGGAAACATCATGCATCAGCACTTTTCCAGTCCTGAGTGCATTAAAATATTAATATGCAGATTTATTACAGAGCTGCTAACTCAGATATGATCCTGTGTTATAGATGAACATTAATTTTGTTAAGCGTATTGTCAGACTTGACATTGAGGACATACCCATGTGGAAATTAGGACAGGTACAGTGAATAGACTCCTGCTAGAAAGCTGTCTCATTAAGACTGAACTGAATTGACTTTAATGCTTTCTTACAACTTTTTACATTAACAGTAACAAACAGCAAATGGTTCCAAGTATATAGACTTTTACCTCGAACAGCTGCTGTCTCTCTCCACAATCGTTATTTTTACATTTAAATTTAAAGTATGCTCGTTTCTTACCTCATCCTATCTTCTTTATTACCATCTAACTAAATTATTACAACCAAATAATTATATTAGTGCAACCAAAGATAGCTTTCAAGAGAGAAGTGGTAATCACTGTTTAATTTATTTAACATTTTAATTTTTGTATACCAATTACATGAAATAGGATATCAAGAACATTATTAGCAGGTAAAATAATTCTAGTGATGGGATTTATTTGAGTCCTGGTTTATATAAATGGTTGAGTGAATATTAACACTTAGATCACCTTCTCCAATGGTGGTAAATAGGCCAGCAAGTTAAGTGCCATTATTATGAACTTCATTTGATTACTTTTTAGGACAGAGTCTCCTTTAGAAGACCAGTGCGTTTTCAGATGTAAAGATTTAGCATGGTGTGTGTGCATGCATGTGTGTGTGTGTTTCAGCAGAACCCTTTTCCACAAAATATTGGACTGACTTAGAAATGAGTAGTTAATATTTCAGCATCACTGTCATACTCGAGTCTCATCTTTTGCATATTTGTCATACAGAAGAACTACAGAAAGGACGGATGTTCTGTGTTTCTGAGGGCACTCGCATTCACACGGGAGTTCTTTAAGCAGCGGCCAAGGCCATCGTCAGAGTTAGGAGTTTCTAAAGATCTGTTAAAAACACTACATGTGAGGTTTAACAGAATTAAAACACTACATGTGAAAGTTTGGCAAATTATTCACTGTCTTCATTGAAATAGAAGTTGTACTTACACAATTGGAGGATAAAGTAAAAGCAACCTACTGTATTTGGCAGTTAATATCAAACATTTATTGATACGTGTGTATAACAGATCATGTGTCTTGTCTTTCTCAGCAGAAAAGGAATAATTGCAGAGTTTAAGTTTCTGGATACAGTCATCCCTTGGTATCCATGGGGGAATTGGGTCCAGGAACCCCCCTGCTGTAGGCTTCAAAATCTGTGGATGCTCAGGTGCCAAAGAATAGCCCATTGCAAAATGGCGTATATTGATGTATACAGTGAGCCCTCCACATCTGCAAATTCCCGACTGTGGTTGAATTTATGATGTGAAACCCACAGATACGAGGGCCAACTGTATTTGTGTAGTGTTGCACATTATGCAGTGTAAAATAAGCTGGGATCTCACAGCAAGTTCAGAACCACTAGGAAACAGAGGGAATAGAAAAATAAGAATGCTCCCTGGTTGGGTGGCTCAGTTGAAGGGAATGTCATCCCGCATACCAAAAAGTCATGTTCAATCCCCAGTCAGGGCACATACTTAAGTTTCAGGTTCACATACTTAGGTTTCAGGTTCAATCCCTGGTCAGGACATGTACTGGAGGCATCCAATCGATGTCAATGTCCCCCTCTCTCTCTCTCTCTCTCTCTCTCTCTCTCTCTCTCTCTCTCACCAATAAATATATCCTTGGGTGAGGATTAAAAATAAAATAAGAATGGTTGCATGAGTGATATATGTATAGACTGGTATTTTGTAAATATCCCTTACAAATAAGCATTAAATTCTTTAAAAATAATTATTATTCGTAAACTCCTAAACTATCATTAAAAATAATAGCTTGCTTTAAAAAAATTTATTTCAGGCATTAGGTAAATGCTTTTCATAACTTTCTACTTCTTTACATGTAGTACTGATTTTTTCACGACTACCATAAAATGCATTACCCTCATCATAACTGTGGGGAGACTGAGGCACAGAGCAGCTGAACCACCTGGCAGGCACATGGTGGCACCAGGATTGAAGCCCCACCCTCTGGCCTAGGAGCTCATGATTCCATTCTGCCTCTGTAAACCCTTGCCAGTGTGTTGTGATTTTATTAAGAGGAGCTGTCAATTCACAAGGTTATACCATGAAGTATTTTACTTCATTTAAAAATGTTACTTTTATCACAGAATAAACGTCCACCCAGGTTATCCATAACAAGTCTCAGCGTCCCTGTGTTTGACTAAAGTGCTGCTGTAGTGCCGAGTTACGGTACATGGAGCGTTCTGCCTGTTGGAACCCCAGTTAGTGTGTTGTTTCCCCTTCTCCTGTTCCCTACACCAGAGTGGGTCTGATACCTTATATGGTGATTGGAGAGAAGGGAAGGGAGTCTCGGTGAAGGGAGGTGAGAGGGGGGGCTCAGGATTACCCACCCACCTTTTCCATGCTCTCCTGGAATTCAGTATTTAGTCATTCAGCATTAGTGTCCACTAGATGCCAGGCTCTGTGCTGAAGACTGGGAAACAGAGAACAAGACACAGTTCCATCCCCACGGAGCCTGCAGTCCAGTTGATGTCCAGGGTGATTCTGAGGAAATTCTATTTGTGAGAACCCTTCATTCTGGATTGGGACTTGGTGGGGTTTGACTCTCTGGTGCTGACCAGCCCTGCCCCACTCTCCTGGTCTGTCCCTCAGAGCTGCAGGGATCCAGAGCCAGCCCCAGAGGGCTGGTTGGCTGCCGCCTTGTCATTTTT